TGTCGCTTAGTTATTTAATTTTGGCCGACTCCGATAACGTTTTTGCTAATCTTTTTGGTCCAAAAAAAATTGATTTTAACTCTCTAAGGGTAGCCTCAACTTAAAGATGGAGGCGAATTGTTTTAAGCATTTCGCTGTAATTATGAATGCAGGATAACTTAGATAAGCAGATCTGGAGTTAGCAAAGTTAAGGTGACTAACACTATTTGAGAGGATTGCTGATATAAATATTATTACTATAATAATTTACCTCTTAATTAAACATATGTTTATTTTTTTGCTTGAACAAAATAAATTATCCATTTTTTCAATCCTCAATAATTCGTAAATTAATTAACAATTTTAATATTTTTTTTTTACATATTATTATTTTGATTGACGATTAGCCACTCAAAAAAATATTCTAGTTAATTTACTTTGATGAAAATTAACATTTTTGTTTTCCTGAGTGTCCCATGGAAAGCGGATCCTAAATTTCTAAGAAAGTTCTTTCGCCAATTAATCTTTAGTTTCGGAGATTTAGAACCGGAAATGAAGGGACCGAAATTTCTCTTAAAAATTTATAGGAAACCGGAAACTCATTTTTCGGTCTAGATTTTCTAAACTTTGTACGAAATTTGAAATATTATTAAAAACAAAATTTTGGGTTAGCTTCCAGCTCTGGTAGTCTGCGGCAAATCGAAACCGATATTTATCACAACGGCATAGCCTCCGGAGACGAAAAAACCCCGAAATTATATAAGAGAGATAGGAGGAAAAGGAATTTTGCTGCCAAGGATCCTGGCCAGAGCAAAAATCGTTGTCCGTTATTGCTCATTGCTGATTGGCGTTTCTACAAAGCGATGGGGAATAGCGATATACATAATACTATCAATTACTTGGTAAGCGATCATCACATTTTCCTAACTCCTTAATTTTTTAACTAGTTACTTTTTTTGATAAAAGGATAACTATCACCACTTACATTTTGCTGCAGGAATGTAACTGCAAAAGTAATTGGTCATTTTTTTTTAAAATAATTCATCAAAAATTGCTCCACTAAAAAAAAAATAAATTCATTTACTGACTTTTTAAAAATAATATATGTATTAATGTGGTAACGGTAAGATAGGAGTGATAGGACGTGTGAACGCCATATTTACGAGGACGGAATTTTTGACAGACGATAGCCCTCAAGCTACTTTGACCGATTACGGCTTCGTGATAAGGCAAATCATAGTTCACACGACCCCTTCCCACTTTCCTTCGCCATCTTCTTCCGTTTTGGGTGCTTCGTATCCTCGGAACTTAAATATCGTGCGAGAAAAATCGGATTTCGATGTCTATTCCGACGCGTCTAAAATGATTTTATTGAGAGGGCGGCACGCGGAGGCTACAAATGTTACCGGAAAATTGGGAAGGTAACTTGCGGCAACTGTATCTATGATATTTTTTTTATATAAACATAAGTCATATTTGAGGCATGTTAAGAACCCCTTCCCCACCCCTTCATATTGATAGTAAAGCCTACACATACTATTTTTTAAAATAAAGGTACAACAATAACCCCGTTTTCGATGGTGATATTCAATCCGCTAAATCGATCGTGGTCGAGCATTACAACGGGGCGCGATTAAGATGGGAGAGCGTTGCGAAGTGAAAAAAAAAAATTTCTATCAACAGACCCAAACTGGTTCGAAAGAAATCCAGGAGTCTGTTGGATAAGGATGCCAACGAATATCAACCCGTTATTTTATCTATTAAAAACTGTTATTATTCGTTTATGAATAGGCTTATTGGATTAAGTGTATATTTTTAAACTTTACATGTGTGCTACTATAGTTTGGGTAATTGCTATATTTTTAACTTGATTACGCCATTTTTTTTAGGCGGCTGAAAAAAAAATCGGCTAAACCCAAGTTTTTAGCCCCAAAATTATCACCCTTTGGTCTCGGGGGTTTTTCAAAAAAGAAAGAGAGATAGCACAGCTCAAAATTTGGAAGAAAAACAAATATAAATTTTAATCGCCTTTAATGTTTTGCGGATTTTTTCCCGGCAGGCGTGTGAAGATTGAGGAGCCGAATTGGCCGGCATTTCGTTTTAACCCTTGTTTGTATCATTTCGAATAGGCAAAATACTTTTAAAATATCGACTTCCTTCCTTCCTTTGCCAGTTTGAAATGATTTCACTTTAACAGTTCAGAATAATTTGATTTTTTTTATAAGGTTTTTATAAAATGTACCATATCTTATCATATTTTTTTTTGATAAAAGGACGTTTGTTTGGCGCATCTGTTTACTCACCAACCCTTCAAGGGAAACGTGTTAGGGCTGGCTTACGTAGCGTCGGATAAGGCGTACAGACCTGGCGGCATTTGCACCATTCCTTACCATTACGTTTCCACTGGTTCTATTTTAAATATAAAATTACATATAAGCCATTTTTTTTAATTGCATCTTTCAATAATCTTAAAAACGTCAAAAAATCAATTATGGAGTTTACCTATAAATTATAAGTTTGATGTCTGGGTTGTCAATCAATGTTGAAAGCTAAATAGATTACCCAAATTATCCATCTCATAGAATTAGATGTATAAATTTTATCGAGAAACGAGTTTGTTTTTTTTAAAATAAATAAACATATTCTATTTTTGCGTCTCAAAATTTGTAAAACATAAAGCTAGGACAGTCGTATCCTAGAGCGTTGGGAATAAAAAATGGCCCCCAATAAAAAAAAAGAGAATTATCCATTTATATTTGTCCCAATATCATAAATATTAAACAAAAATACTACGATAAAACCTATCAAGAATGACCAACTAACCTTGGTCTCTTTAGGACCGGGCCTTGCCAGACAAAATCTTTTAAAAAATGTATATATATTTCTAAAAAAATTCTAATTTCTTGGGCAGTTTAGCCTTGCGGGGGTCTCGTTGTATTTTCTTTATTTTTGTTGATGCTTTCATGACTTCTTTCTAAAACTAAAGAGATTTAAACATTAAAATTAAGAAAGTATTATAATGTCCATCTTCTACTATATATTAATTTATTTTTCTATATTTATAATATAATTTATTTGATTAGATGTGCCCTCCACCTTGGTCCACTTGAATACCGGCTTTAGCTCCTATCAGAACGAAGCTCTAAGAACGGTCTTCACCCAAGAGGGTGACATAATAACGGCCCACGAATTGGGACATAATTGGGGCAGTGAACATGATCTAAGTTTTAACTTATAAATACAGGAAGGAAATTTGGGAATCTTTTATGTTACTATCCCCATTTATAGGCGATAACCTGCTCACCAATTCAAACCTAACTTCTATTACTTTATTTATTTTAAAAAAAAAATTTGAATTTTTATTCGTTACATCTGATTGGTTGGCTTTAAAGAGTTATTCTAATTTTATGCCGCCATTTTAATAATAAAAATAATATAAGTCACGTGAATTTTACCTTGGTTTCTATTTACCCGAATAAGTTTATAAAGTATCCTCATCAGCCGTTTTGACTTTAAAAAAAAATTGAGATTAATCGGACCGATATTTGCTTTTCCTAGTGCATAGATTAATAGAGTTAAGGAAAAGTGAATTTGATTTTTTTTTTAAAAATTTTTTATAAATTTTTTTAAATTTTAATTAATTTCGACATATTTAGAGTATTTTTAAATGTTTTTTTTAAATTTATTATAAATGAAATTATTCTGTATTAGGTCCAAGATACATTATGAAATTGATCAGATTTTTATAAATTTTTTTATTTTATTGTTTTTTGATAAATTTTGATTATTAATTTTTTAGTTTACGCGTTTGTTAGGGAAAGTATGAGTTTAATATTCAAATTATTTTTAAATATACTATTCGCCAAGAATAATAATGTTGCATAATCTATATAGGCACTCTCCGACTGCCGACACCAAGGCTAGCTATGATAGTAAACAGGTGGGCGGCGCTTACATTATGTATCCCTTCTCCCTGAGGGGCTATCACGATAACAATAAAAAGTTCTCCCCCGCTTCCCTCGTCTCCATCGGCACCGTCTTAAAGTCCAAGGCGCATTTGTGTTTCACCGAAGCGGATTATCGCGCCCCTAATAACGTTCGCGAAGGGGGGCCCAGTATGAATAAACCGGAAAACGATGATCTCATTTCCTCTTTTTGCGGAAATTACATCGTGGAAGGGAAAGAGGAATGCGACTCCGGACCGGATCTGACTCAAGCTTTGATTTTGAGCGGAGAAAATGATGGAGGTTATTTTTTTTTTAGAAACTGTCATCTCTTTAAAATTTGATAATTCGATGTCAGTCAGATCAGTGGATCATTGTAGACCATGATCCACAAATCTACCCCTTTATGGAACTTTCCTATTTTAAATATAAATTGAAGTTGGTCACTCATATTTTTTTCTTCTTCTCGTTAAAAAAAAAAATTAAACTGATTTCTTTCTTCTAACGCAAAAAGGTGAATATGCAACGAGTTTAATGAAGCGTATATATTTTAAGTCCCGCGAGTAACATAATAGAAAATAAAATCTATCATGCCACATTTATCTCTGATTGACATGTATCATTTGACAATGACCGACAGAGTCGCTAAAATTAACTCCGCCCCCGAATGTGGCGTATTTTTCTTCCCCGCGCACCCGTAGATTTAGCCAGATTTTCCAATTTTAGCCATTACCCAATTATGCTTACTACCTCCTTTTTTTGCTTTTTCTCTCCGTTTAATGACGATTTCCAGGTTTTCCCGGGTGAGCCAGTTTCCCCTTTAAATCTCTATTTTTACGGTTCTGAGCGTCACATTTTGTGAGATCCATTACCACCGATATCGGCGTCATCTCAGACCTTCCGCGAGTCCTTCATCTCACTTCCATCGAGGTGCATCTCTTTACCCAGTCATCCTTCATATCTTTTGTTCCAGTGCCTAAACCATCTCGGTTTATTTCTTCTCCTTAATATTCGGTGTTATTTATCTCCAATATTTCTTCCGATTATATCTCAAAAAACATAATTTAATTATTTATATAGGTTATTTTAGGGTGGGTCCATCCGATGATAAGTGCTGCGATGCTTTTTGCAAATTGATAAAGCCCGCCGCTATTTGCAGCGATAAAAATTCGGTTTGCTGTTCGTATTGCAAACCTACCCCTGCCGGCCTCAAAAAATGCACTCCCGATCTCAATATTATTCTAGCCATCGAGGACAAGTTAATAAAATATTCTTTAAAAAAAAAACAATCATTTGAACATTTTTTTATATCAAAATTTGAGGGAGTAGTAAATTGGAGGGATTAGATATTCAATAATATTTATCAGAAACCTGCAGGCCCATATCCGCCCCGGATCATGCCGGGCATAAACGGGCTGGGCCGTGTAATTCATACCTCTATAGATCTTTGAAATTTTTGCCTTTCAAATAAAAATAAAACAGGAATCGTTCTTTATCACGAATTCGCGACAAATCCCCCCAAAATATTTCTTCCACTTACCGCTCGAAATCCCTGATATCTGCGAATTCACTCGATAAATCATGCTACCGATTGGACCAATCGTATTGCGACGGCGTTTCGCCGGAATGCCCCACGGTGAACGTGACGATCTACATCGACAAAGTAACGGATATTTTTGGAGAACGGATAGTAGACGATCACATGATTAAAAATGACGAGGCGCCACAAATTTTTGAGTTCATCCCCAAAGGTTCGTATTGCAGGGGCTCCACCGGGGATGGCTTGTGTTCGGGCACTGGAAAATGTCGGCCATTTTGTGAATATAAAGGGTTGACTTCATGCATTTGCTCCAGTCACGGTAAACATATGTTTTTTTAAGAACAAAATATATTTTATTCGAAAATTGAAAGTGAAACCCTCCACAAGTGGCCACTTACTTATTTTAACCTATCGATAAAGGAAAAGCAACCCCTCGGACGTAGGTTTCACTCCCGAAATATAAATAAGTTATGTTAACGCCATAATTCTCTTCTATCTTTATGTTCGTTCCCAGACGGGACTAATATATTTCTTTAGACCTAACCTCTTAAAGGTGGTTGGGGTTAAAAGGGTAGTTGTAACTTACGGTCAACATATGTTGCAAATAATGGCCTCAAATAGGCTACCCACTTACCAAATTTATTAGTTCGCAGTTTGTAGACAGTCAATAACATCATAAAAAGGATTTGGATACTTACTTTATAATTTAATTTTCGGATTTTAATTTAATAATAGGGGAAACCTGTAAATTATGCTGCAAACAAAATCATTACGATTCACCGTGCCTTCCATATACCAACCCCTCGGAAAATGTTACCGAACCCTCCTTACTTAAAGAAGGTGAACCGTGTCAATTCGGATACTGTGATAAAAACGTTTATTTATTTTTTATAGATGTGTATATATATATAAATTAATGACGCCATTTTTATTTAATTATAAGGAGACATATTTTTCTAGAACTTTCTAATATCTCAATTTGAAAATGTATGAGAAACCTTTTAAATTGATTTATTTTGGATTGACCTACCCATAAACCGCCCAAAGCCATCACCTACCTTATACCGACCTCGTTATGGTTAGAGTTTAACCCTTGAATTACTATTTAGGTCAATTATAGATCTGTAACTGGCTGATGAATTCCATTGATTGGGCTACTAACTACACGAAGGCTTCACAGAATACTTTCTAAAAAATTGAAAAAAAAAAAAAAAAAAAAAAAAAATGTATGAGTAGATAACGTCCCAAATCTAGCGAACGCGATCGCAGAAACGGATAAGAACAACCCTCATTTAAAAACCTAAAATCGCAAAAAAAGTTCCGATCTTTAGGGAGATCATCCCAAATTATACTCATAATTATTATTTTATTTAATCTCAAATCATTTTAATGGCAAAGTTATAATTAGCATAAATTGGATAACAAAACAATATATTTGCTGAGATTGGCTGAAAAAAAATACTCCCTATCTATTTTATTCTGACCAAAAATTGGAATATTTTCGTAGAATAAAATAAGAGTGGCATTTTTTCTGAAATGCCATCCAAAATGTTTACATATTTATTTTATTTAAACTAATGTAGGGCACATGTCAAAGCGAATTCACCGATCAAATACAAAAAATATGGAATTACATCGAAAATATTGGCATCAATAATTTTAGTAAATGATACCAAATATATGTATTTGATAATATGAATCAGATAGACTAGCGGATAGTGTTGTTAAACGGCCCGATTTGAGCCGATTCTTAAAAAAGACTAACTCGATATTCGAGCCAGATAGATTTTGACCAAATCTCGAATTCCAAACCTTACTTCCATCTACGAGCAAAATTAACAGGCTTTTTGTAGTATTTTTCTCTCTCTGGATAAAATATTGAGTTAATGTTTTTTTAAATATAGGGTCAGACTGAGTTGTTTAGTTACACTGGTAGTAAATATTAATTTGATGCCCAAAACCACGGATAATTATTCATGAATTTGAACTTGTCTTCTCTGAGCATAATTTGGTAAATTTACCATATTTTGACGCACCATCATTTTAGAGGAAAACATAAATCGATTAATGATAGATTATCCGATGACATATTATGATATTATGAATATACGAATAAAAAATACTTGATATATTTTAGGGCGATTGATGAGGGACAACTTGGTCGGAACTATCATTATTATGACGGCCTTCGTCTGGGCGCCTTGTTGCCTGCTCATCAATAACATAGTGAGTGAGATTATATTCAGTTAAAATTGAGAGTATGTGAGCCCCCCCCCCAACAAAAATCATCGCTGAACCGAGACAAAAAAAGATATATCGTGAAACTGGAAACTAGAAACCCTCTTTACAGTGTTTCAGGGAACCCTAATAGAACGGGTTCTAACTGTATATAATTTACGGGACCGGCTTAGCCGTTTACCCAAGTACGAATTGTATGTGGAGCGCCACTAAAATTGGTCCTTAAGGCCCGCCAAATTATCAAATTATTAAGAGCTTAATATGAAGGAGCAACATTTCGGACTAAAACGCACTTTCAGAAGATTATAGAAATAAGTGATTTTATTTTTATTGAGAGATCAAATTTTTTTTGATTAGAAAAAAAAATTTCACAGTTTTTAGGCACAAGGAGTACGGATTAAAGTGTGCTTCCTTCCTTGTGCTTGAGCGGAGAATCGGTTTAGCCGAAGCCGGGACCGATAATTCGTATACACTATTTTCCATCCCCTGCATCGGTCCTATTTTTTCACCGTGACCGAATCCCATTAACAAAGTTTGGAACGCACGGAGCCTGTTTTGATCCCAAGAACCGGAAACTCTCTTTTTGACGGCTACCATTCATAGTTGAGATCCAATCCGTGACGATTTAACAGCTGATCGATTTGTTTTTTTTTAAAATCTGTTTAAGAGAACAATTTTTCTTTTATTAATTATTAATTTTATTTTTTTAATTCCATTCAAACGACAATAATCTGAGAATTATCGCTTTTTGATAAAGGGAAAATTGATCTCGTAAATAGATTTTTAGGAATCGATCAGCTGTTAAATTGTAAGTCCGATCGGATCTCCCCAATAGGAACGCAACCTAGAGAATTCAGGAATTGGAGCAGCACTCGGAACCCGAAACGGAATCCATTTTTTTTCTAGGTTACAAGCTCTGGTTTAAAATTTTCAAACTAATTATTGATATTATAATTATATTATTATAATATCAATTTAGGATAGGAAACGGGAAGAAGGACTCAAAACTATATTGGATTGGTTTGATCCTAAGGTTTTAAATATACTTTGATTTACTCACTGCCCACCCTCCTAAGTGAAAGTAACGGCAGCACGTTACTTATTATTAAAGTATCGGAAACATATTTTAAGAAAGATAGGGGATTCACTTGTTTACTATTCAAGAAAGTTTTTTTTTTAATTAACTCTTTACTTTCGTTAGTCTCTCCCAAGATAACGAATGACGATGAAGCACTTTGAGCTAATAATAACATTTTTAAATACTTATCACTCTTCCCCTCTCCCTAAAAAGAATGATTCCTTGTTTCCTCCAGGTGTCAGAACTAGTATTCAGAAGATAGATCCGAGCATAATTCAGAAATACAGAAATCCTTCCAATTCATTTAAAACCAATCGAATTAATGTAGCAGACGAAAACGTGAAAAACTCTCACGGTCATGGTTACGTCAGTAAGGATACGTCATTCTATTTCGAACCAATCGGGGCAGGAGGCGAAAAAAATCTCGATAACGATAAATATCTATCTCGGAATACGAATAACAATAATAACAACTATTTTTTATATGGGGAACACGCGTTTTAGGGAAAATAAAATATATTCCGATATTTTTTTTTATATTTATTATGACAATTATCGAATCTCAATGGAATTTTTTCACTGCAAAAAAAAAATGATCTTTTATTTCTATTAGAATTTTTATTTATTTATTTAAACCAATAGAAAAATACGGAAATTTTAAACGTAAATTATTTTGTTGATTATAAATATAATAATCAACCTTATTCATGATGTCTATAAGATATGATTATGTATAAAAGTGTATGAGGGAATTAAATCAAAAGAAAGAATAGTAAATTTGGTAAGATCCGACCGTAGATGATCGGGTCGGAAAACTTGTGCGAAATATTTTTACGGACATGCGTAAAGCCGTTTCAAAAAAAAAGCAGCGGGCCGGTTATCTAAGATTGTATAATATCGTTATAGACATCGCCGCCAAATCGGTAAATTTCCGAAACAAACGTTAAAACTTGCTGCGCGAGCCGCTAATTTTTCGGCTCTAAAAGGTTATCATATAATCGGAGTTGCGGAATAAAGCTACAAACTATTCGGTATAAAAAAGCTCGATGGTGGGATAAAGTTTTCAACTATAGAAGCTTTTCCTATGGCCTATCGTTCGCGAACGAACGCTTTTATAATCGATACACGATAAATTAGTGCAGGTTGTGAATAAGGTTTTTTTTTTGGCCTAAATACGGAATTTGTATTTTTTTTTAAACAACGTATTCGAACTGAAATTACAATTTTATACTCTCGCTCGGAACACTTGGAGTTTGCTGGGGCAAGAGAATCTTTGGCCATCAAGCGACAATGTAAGATAAGACAAAGCTATTTTTAGCGCGCAAACCTAGTGTATACGTAGTAGGGATAGGAATAGCTACTTTATCATCGAGATAATCCTTGATCTCATCCCTCCTAAGGTCAGGAAATTCAGGTGCCCCCCCCCCTTATAAATTATGATATATAATATAAAATATATTTATAATTACTTTCTTGATTTCGTGACGCGTAACTATAACAAGATACTGTTGTGTAATTCGTATACATTCGTTCTATTTGACGGAAATCCAAAATATTTACACAATATTTAAAACTATTTATTTTAGGCATATATTTAATTTTTCGTTTTTTAGGATATCAAGTAATTGTGGCCACGTGATTACTAAATGTGCCGACATCCCTACATTATGTTAACATTTTGTATCGGCATCATCATTGATCCGGAAGTCTCCTCCAAAAAAAATTTTTCCCCCATCCTTGTAAATAAATGGCATCAGTCGTAAATTCTGGCTTATATGCTAAATCCGACTACACACCAATATTTTTAATATACAAATAATTCAAGGTCCATATCATCGGGCACAATGTACCGTCCGTCCAAGCCCTCACTTCCGTTACGATTACTCTCATTTTCTGAGCCTGTATTTTACAGAGTCGAATAGGAGATTAATATACGCGGTCATATGAAAAAAAAATAAATCCAAAAACAAACAAATTATTTCAAAATTTAAGGGGATTTTAAAATACTTTTACATATATTTTATTTAGCTTTCATTAAAAGATTAAATTATTTAATATTAAATATTATAAAACATACATAATTGTTTGTATATATATATATATTTATTTATTTATATAATTAATAATTTTTGTTTGTAAAATTGAAAAATAAAAATATATAAAAAATTATTGTGTTTTAGCGTTTAATTATAATTAAAGTTAATTATACTATTTTTATTTTTACATTTTCTTTATAATATCGTAAATTATATATATGTGTCGTATGGGTATTCGGAATTCTTGGGGATTCGGAATCTCTTGATTTTAAATCCTTTACCAGAAGCGATATAAAAAATTTTAAAATCCGATGAACGCCGCTTCTAATTTATATTAATTTTTATATGGATTTTTCATATAAGTTTAAAAAAATACTAAGATGTCTATGGCTGAAATTTATAGGGTAAATACTCTACCCATGCTAGAATCCATTTCCGGTTTAATTGTTTTTAAAATTTTCGCCCTCGGTAAAGGATTAATCAAGAGATTCCGAATTCTGAATCCCTACACGACTTATATATATATATATTTTATAAAAAGGTTAAACAAAATAGAAAAATAAGTTCACCAATATACAAATAAGTGAGTGAGTGATAGCAATATGTCAAAATAAAATAAAAATGGTTGACCTTTTTATATAAAATAAATAAGTAAATATTATATTTTTCCCACTAAAAAATGGAAAATCTTTATATATTTTTATGTTAGTGTGTAAAAAATAATCTTTTACACAAGCATTATATTTTCGATACAATTTTCCTTTTGATATCTTATTTATTTAGAAATGATATTATTGTAATGGGTAAGCTTGTAATTAAACTTCATGTGTAATGGGAATAAAAACTAAGTGCTATTTAGAAAAAAAAACATCAATAGTAAGTAAGATAAAAAATTATTTTAAAAAAACACATAATTTATCTTACTTTTAACCATTAAAATTGCTATCATTTCGTAATTTATAAAAAACTCGTATTTGTTTCTTGCAATTTTCTCCGTAATTAGTTCGAATCAAATTTTTAATTGATACTAGATAATAAAAATGGAAATTTAGTTTATACTTTTTTTAAATAATAATAATAATATTGAATTTTTTAAAAAATAAATTTAAAAAAATCAAAAAAAATAATTTTAAAAGTTTTACGCCATCTTGCGGATTTAATTTTATCGAAATTTAAAATGTAATTATAATTATATTTTTTTTATATAATTACTTACGAAAAAGATAAACATTATATCCTAATCGTGAACAGGGTTGCCAGGTCAAAATTTTCAAATTGTGGGAGAAATTAGGTATTTTGTGGGAGAAATATAAAAATTGTGGGAGAAATTGCTAAAAATAATTATAATTAAATATATAAAAAAAAAATTATTTTCAATATAAATTACTTATGTACTATTATATTTTAAAAAATAATATTTATTAATATTAGAAGTAATTTTTTTAAAAATTAGCAATGAAAGTGGAACTTAGAAAATATTATTATCTTAATCATCTTTAATCTAAGCTTAAGAACCTCTATAAATATATAATACATATTTTATATTTTTATTTATATATACCATGATAATTATCCTCTAGGTGAGATTTAGATTGCTTTGAGGTTAAAGCACTAGTTTCCAATACTGATGTTGTTTTTTGGACAATAAAATGTTATAATTAAATATATAAAAAGAAAAAAAATTATTTTCAATATAAATTACTTATGTACTATAATATTTTGAAAAATTAGCAATGAAAGTGGAACTCATCTTAGAAAATATTATTATCCTAATCATCTTTAATCTAAGCTTAAGAAATCCTAAATATTATACATATTTTATATTTTTATTTATATATACCATGATAGTCATCTTCTTGAGATTTAGATTGTTTAGAGGTTAAAGCAGTTTCCAATACTGATGTTGTTTTTTGGACAATAAAATGTTATAATTAAATATATAAAAAGAAAAATTATTTTCAATATAAATTACTTATATACTATTATATTTTAAAATATATTATTAATATTATTAGAAAGTAATATTTTTAAAAATTATCAATGAAAGTGGAACTTAGAAAATATTATTATCCTAATCATCTTTAATCTAAGCTTAAGAAATCCTAAATATTATACATATTTTATATTTTTATTTATATATACCATGATAATTATCCTCTGGGTGAGATTTGGGTTGCTTTGAGGTTAAAGCACTGGTTTCCAATACTGATGTTGTTTTTTGGACAATAAAATGTTATAATTAAATATATAAAAAGAAAAATTATTTTCAATATAAACTGTACATACTATATACATTAATTATACATACCACGAACACGATCACGAAGATGCTTAAGTTCCACCACCTCAGGAATCACTGGCACTGATTTCTTGAAGAAATTCTTAATTGATTTTTGTTTCATACCAGTTGAGGTTGTTGAGGTGCCAATACCAAATATGATGTTGCTTTTTGGACAATAAAACATATATATTTTAATTAAATATATAAAAATAAAAATTATTTTCAAAAAAAACTGCTTTTGTACTATTATTTATACACAGCTTATCGTCGATCTAGAATTGGGAATGGATTGGATTGGTTGGATGGAGATTGGCGGAAAAATAAAAGAAGAACCAGACATATTTTTCGAATAAATATTTAAAATTTATTTTAAAAATAATCAAATACTGTCTCTCAAAATTATTATTTATATATTAAAAACATTAAAATGCTAAAAAAAAAATTGTGGGGGAGAAATTAAAAAATTGTGGGAGATTTCTAATTGTGGGAGTTTTGTGGGAGTGAGATGTATGTGGGTAAACTAAAAAATTGTGGAGGAGACTCTCACTGATGGGGGGGAGGAGCATGGCAACCCTGATCGTGAAGGGGTTCTTAACTTATTTTTTCTAATACTATATGTTATTTTACATTTTTAATTTATTTACCTATTTGTTCAATATAACAATTTTTAAAAAGAAGAAAAAAAAAGAATAATAATGTGTTATAATTTCTTCTATTTCAGGGTTTTTATAACCCACATAAATAATAAAAAATAATAATATTGATAAAAAAACAAATAATATCGAGTAAAGATGATAATATTGACAAAATTATAATATTGATAAACAAACCAAATAATATTGGTAATAATAAAAAAAAAAAATTTAAAGTAAGCATGCCCTATCACATTATTTTTTTCAAAAACAATAATATTTTTCTTCTTTGTAAAAGATGATAATAATTTTTTTTATAATAACAACATCTATTATATTATATCCAAAAACAACAATAATTCAATATTATAACAACTTTTACAAATACTATTTTTCCACTTTCACCACATGTCCACCCCCTAATTCTTTCTTCATCCCCATTCCTCCGGCCCCAACACAAACTCCGAATCTGTCATGCTAAACTCCAACCAGCCAAAAATTCATGCGTAAGATACTCCTCATTCCACGACACCACCCAACATGCGCTGCTATCACCGAATCTTCACTGATCGCTGTCTCTCCCATGCTTCTCCTTCCTGTCTCTGCGCCCGCTCTGACATCCGGATTGTCATTCGCC